AGTGGTGCTGAAGATATTGGCAGATCTGGTACCGAGAGACATTGCTGCAGAGACTGAGAAAGGGACACAGAAAACTACCAATCTGGCTTGAGTAAATGAAGTTCTCCAAGGAAAGACTGAGAGTCCAGGCCAGTTCTATGAGAGGTTATGTGAAGCGTTTCAGATGTACATTCCCTTTGACCCTGAGAGCCCTGAGAATCAAAGAATGGTTAATATGGCCCTAGTTAGACAAAGCGCTGAGGATATATGGCTAAAACTGCAGTAGCAGGAGAGATTTGCAGGTACGAACACCTTGCAATTCCTTGAAATAGCACAAAAAGTCTTTGTGAATCGGGAAGCAGTAAGCCATAGGGAAGAAAACAGGCGCATGAAGCGAAGGGCCAATCTCAGCCACGGCTCTGAAAGGCACGAGGGGAGGACCCCCTCCCTTTCAAAAAGGACAGGGTCAAGGAGTGTGAGGAAGTAGAGGACCTAAGGTAAAAGGCCCCTCCTTGCGAAGAGATCAGTGTACAACTGGCCAAGAGACAGGGCATTGAAAAAATAAGTGTCCCCAGAGGCAAGGAAGTGTGGAAAATCTTGGGAGAGAGGTCACAGAACCGGAAGAGCAGGGAGCCCTCTATAACTTAGTGGGAGAGGCCCTGCTAGACTGAAGGGGACTGGACTCAGCCGCCCCTAGAAAGTCCATGGTCCAAGTAAGAATTGGGGGCAAGGACATTGACTTTCTAATTAATACTGAGGGTGAACACTTGGTAGTCACCCAGCCAGTAGCCCCTCTCTCAGACCACAGGATTGACACAGGAGCAACAGAACCACTGCTGAACAAGCCTTTTGTCTCCCTCGGAAGTGTTCCATAAGAGGCCACGAGGAAATATGCAGCTACAACTGCCCAAACCAGATCTGATGTCTGCCTTGGGAGTAGAGGCTGTTTGTGACTCAACCAAAGGAAGGACTGAGGCCCGAACTGGTCCAGCGGTGGCCACAGACTGCTTATTGCAACATCTAGAGGTATATGGCTATAAAGTTTCTAAGGGAAAGACTCAGATCTGCCAGCAGCGAGTACCTTATCTAGGATTTATTATCCAGCAGGGAGGGAGGAATCTAGACATGGAGAGGCAACAAGTCATTAGTTGCCTCCCCACCTCCACAAGCCAAGGGCAATTGGAGGCAATCCGGAATTCCTAGGTGCAGTCAGTTTCTTTCGTCTTTGGATCCCCAACTTTGCCATCTTGGCTAGACCTCTATATGAGGCAACTAAAGGAGAGGAAGGAAAGTCCTTAGAATGGTAAAGAGAACAAGAACGTGCCCTCTCCCAGCTAAAGATGGGGCTAATGACTGCCTCTGCACTGGGACTGCCAGACCTAACCAAGATGGCTGTGGGTATGTTAACCCAGCTGGTTAGGTCCGGGCCAAGGCCTGTAGCCTGCCTCTCTAAGCAGTTAAATGGAGTGGCAAAAGGATGGCCACCCTGCTTACGAGTGCTAGCTGTTACTACTCCCTTGTGCAAGAAGCCGATAAGCTGACTCTAGGGCAGGATCTCAAAGCAGAAGTACCCCACTCTGTGGTCACTTTAATGGACACTAAAGGACATTTTTGACCCAGCCACACTCCTTCCAGCCAATGGAAGAGAGACTGAGCATGACTGTGTGGAATTCATAGATAATGTGTACCCTAGCAGACCTGACTTGTGTAACCAGCCTTGGACAGATACAGACTGGGACTTGTATGTTAATGGAAGCAGTTATGTGATGGCGCAAGCCCTGGAAAAAGCCATCAGTCAGCAAGGTGTCATCTGCAGCCAGTTTAATGCCCGCCAAGGACCAACGGTACCCCCAGGAATCCCGTCATGTGGAGCAACGCCCTTCGA